CCTGGTCCGTACGGATCACGGATCATCTACGATCTGTTGCACCCCTAGTAGCTAAGCTCAGTTGGGATGACAAGAATGATTAGTCATGCAAATAGTGTTGGTAGTCTGAAGTGCCAAAAACCATGTTGCACGCCAAATGCAAGTTGTACGACTAGTTGGGCAGACCAAAACCCGCTTTCTTGCTTTCGCATGAAGCGCCAAAAACCATAGTGCACGACAAACGTCAGCTGTGGAGTCCGTGCCTAAAAACAGTCACATGAACAAGAGTTGGAAGCGCAAGCGCCAAATCAATGTACAAGTGCCTTAATTAAAGCGATGTAATTAAACTGATGACGCCATCACAGCATTGAAGTGAACCTATGAAAGGGAACGAATGTCCGCAAATCTACTAAGATTTTAGACATTATTCGTTTTCCTCATAAATTACAACAAAGTAAAACTATATTTTACAAAATGTTAACTGTAGATAGAAAGTTCTCACGAATGAGATGATTAGAGTTAAATTAGTTAATTCATGAACACATTTACAGACTCAATCAGTAAAGAGGGCGTGTTCGTTCATTCGGTCCAACCAATGAAATGTTCTTTCCGCAGACCGCACTCGAATGCTATTGGTTAGCTACAGTCAGTCATTGAAGTCAGTCTTTGAACTTGAACGAGAACGATTTGTTCAATTAAAGAATTGCTTCTAAAACACGAACTAAACTTGCATATTACATTCTTCGATCACGTCGTGTCGAATTAACACAGACCACAACGTAGAAGGAGTTTAACAGAAGTGCATGTAAATAAGAGCATGGTGGGCCTGAACGATGCGTTGCGTGATCACATATGGCATATTTATTTAGTATGGATACCAAAGCAACTTTTTTTAGATACTGGGCGTGGATAAGGACCACAGACTGGGGGACTGTCTCGTTAAAACCGTGAAAGGTCTGCAGATGTGCTCTGGAAAAACTTGCCTTTCCATCACTCTACTTCCGCATCAAACATGCGTTTAACACTCAACATGTCCTGCTGAGCACAACAACACTGAAGTAAACGCTATTTGCATCGGTTTGCATGTTTTCAACATTAACCTCAAAGAAACATCTGCCTGAGACGCAGCAGCAGACTGCAGAGATCATATGGAGGGGAAACTGGACATGGATGATGTTTCTCCATCCCATCATCAGCATCAGCGGGGCTTGTGGAAATCCTTCCACGGCAGACCCAAACTCACCGGCAGCCCCAAACTGGGCAAAAAAGACCGAAAGCAAGAAAGCGGGTTTTGGATATTTAAAAAGAAACGACCAAATGGTTTGGACCGAGCGGTGTCTTCGTCTCAACCCAATCTGCGCAGCGCGGCAGCCGCTCCGGATGGTGGTGAGAGC